CACGAATTTCTCTAGTTCCTCGAGTGTTGGGCAAACCTAGAATCCTATGTATAATCAGAAAAATTTTACTTATGCATTTTTATGAACTTGACAATAAAATATGAAAGATAACACATTTTGATTACCAAAAAAAAAAAATCTAAGGATAAAATATCTTCAACTCGTCTTCACTCCAAGTCTGAGGCATTCATTTCCTCGTGTAGATCTTCAGCTTATATAGTATGGGGACGACCCGTTTGTTGATGATGAATGGATTGGTTCACGTATGGTCGAGCTTTTCCACGGCTTGTACTCACACGATTGGGTAAACTTTCATCAACAAAAGAAGTCCGGCAGTGAAAATCTTCTCTCGGACATGCTTATTGTAGACCAAAGTAATTTGTCTCTTCACCTCTTCCTCTCGGAGGACTGCGCCGGCTTGTTTCTATTCTGTAAGGTCAAGCACAAGCAACACTCCTTTGTTCAATCTTGAAGCTTCCGAACTTCTCTATCTCCGTTTTAGTTTTGTCGAGTTACTCGACCATCATCTCGTCTCTAACCTCGAATTGCTCGTTTACCTGATTGACTACCAACTATGAGTCGGACTTTATCCGAAAGTATCGAGCATCCATTTCATAGGTTAATCGCGGCTTGGCAATTAGAGCTTCATACTCGACTAGATTGTTGGTAACTTTAGATATCATTTTTATCGAGTCGTGCAGGTGATCTACGGTCGGATTTGTTAAAGCGAGGATGAGCCCTGCTTCGGTTTGTCTACACTCTATGGATGTGCAGGACCCGGTTTTGGTTAATGATCGTCACTAATTCGTTGGACTTGCTCGGTTTAGATAAATCTGCCAAGAAATTGACTATGGTATGTGTTTTGATGGAGGCTTAGGGCATATAAAAGAGATCAAACTCACTGAGCTATACTGCCCATTTATGACGCCGACCGAAGTGCTCTAACCTCATGAGGATAGATTCCAGCAGGTGGTCGGTGATGATACTAATCGGATGCATATGAAAAAAAGAGCAAAGAGTGCGTGCAAAGATAATAAAAGAAAATGTTAACATTTTTATAATCGGATACCTAAGCTCGACGCCTCGAATGATCAGCTAACATAGTAGAACGAGAACTGCTTCCCTTGCTCTTCTCGGACTAAAACCGAGCTGATGGCTTCAAATCTGACCCCCAAGTATAGAGAGAGTTCTTCCTTCGGCTTTGGGCTTTAAAGGGGTGTTGTTGACACTAGGATGTCTTTCAATTTTTTGAATGCTCGTTCACATCCATCAAACTATACAAAGTTCTTTACTCGCCTAAATGTTTTGAAAAAATCCGCACACTTGTTGCCCGATTTTGAGATAAATCAGCTCAAGCGTGCAATATGTCTAGTCAGCTTTTGGGCTTCCTTTGTGTTTCAGGAGGACAACATATTGATCAGCGTCTGAATCTTTTCCATATTAGCTTTTATTCCGTCAAGGGTAAGGAAATAACCTAAAAATTTGTCTGTAAATATCCCAAAAATGTCCTTCAGCGGAATTAGCTTCATATTAAATTTCCTTGAGGTTTCAAAGGTTTATTTTAGGTCTTTCATATGTTTCTCGGGCATTTTATTTTTTACAAAACATCATTCACATATACCTCAATATTTTTCCTTTTTGTTTTGCAAAAATGGCATTCATTATTTGTTGGTAAGTAGCATCATCATTTTATAGCTCAAAGAGCATTACATTATAGCAATGCTCTCTCGTTGGTGATGCATGCAATCTTCTCAGCGTCGGCCATGTGCAACTTGATATGATAGTAGCCAAAGAAAGCGTAAAGGAAGCTCATTACAGAATGACCAACCGTTGCATCCACGAGTGTCGATCCATGGCAGCAGTAGCTGTCCTTCGGGAAGGTGGTATTCAGACATGTTAAGTCCAAACACATCCTTCACTTGTCACTTAATTTTTGCACCATGACAACAATGGACACCCACGCTAAATACTGGACCTCTCGGATGTAACCGGCCTCTAGTAGCTTATGAACCTCCTCCTGGACTGGCTCGACAAAAGTGACAGTCGATGTCCTCATCTTCTGCTTCATCTGTCAAGCGTTGGGTTGCATTCAGTAAGTGGCAGACGACATTGATCGGTATCCCAGGCATTTTGGCAGTAGACCACACAAAAATGTCTAGGTGGCCCCTGAGGGTGTCGATCAGTCTCCTTATATCTGATGGGTGAACTCACTAATCTTAAGCCGCCCTATCGCAAGTTGTGGGGCTCGAGAGGTTCCCGTTGGATGCTTCCGACTAGCCAGAGGTGACAAGTGAGAGGCTGCTCAAGATCCCCTCAAACACTGTTTACCTCCTCCTTGTCCGAGAACTTCACGGCTACATGGTAGGTGGAGGTGATGATTCTGAAAGAGTTGAGTAGGGGATGGCCAAAAATGACATTATAAGTAAATGTTGAGTTGACCATTAGGAAGTCCGTCGTGTTTATGAGCTACTTGTCATTTTCCCCCCTAGTGACCGGCAAAGCAATGGTTCTTAGCTCTTCCTTCTAGTCGCTAAAAAAATCAAAGTGGGTCGGCCGCAACTATCAATCATTTGTTGTCAAGACATATTTTATCGAATAGTGACTCGAACAAAATGGTCACAAAGTTATTAATGTTGATGAGAGTGTTATGATCTGGTAGTTGTCGATCAACACGGTGATGCCGATAGCATCGTTGTAAGGGTTATCCTTACGGTGCAAATCTTTATTGGTGAGGTTATGGGGTATGTGAGCTACTTTTGGGCATAATGGCGGATGTGCATAATTCTCCTGACCAAAGCCACTTCAGATTAGCTCAGCGAGATGAATCTCCACCTCCCCCAATAAAGGCGGGAACATTGTCAGTAATGTGGATTTCATGGAATTGGTCTAGCTTGTTTGAGATTCCTTCACTGGAGTTTTCCTCTGTCGCTGGGTCATTGCTCCTAGTACCACAAACTCCTTTAGTTTCTCGGCCTTGATCAGTTCTTCCATCAGGCCTCATAGGTGCAACACTCCTGTGCCGTGTTCATGGTCTTGATGGTAGGCACAGTACATCTTGAGGTCATGGAGGTAAGCTATGAGCTTCATTGGAGGTGCTCTCTTGAAGTAATCTTTATTTTGGATGGTCTCCACTATCTCAACCATTGAAACTCCCAATGGAGTTGTTTTGGGTACTTATAGTTAGGTAGCATGCACTCATTATGTCGAGTCGATCCCTGGTTAGGATACCAAACCAGACTCCTTCAGTGATGCACTTTGTCAGTCGCCCTATGGTCTTGGAGCCAATTGCCTTCGTATCGCAAACAAAAGGACGTGAATCATGTCTTGATCTCCACCCTACTCATTGAGAGGCCCTCTTCTGTGGGTGACGGGTGCGAGAATTTACTCTAGAAGAAATAGAGTAGGAGTTATACTCCTCGGCCAATATATGGTTGTTGGCTAACTCTAACAACTCGGCTAGCATTTTTGGTCGCTGTAGACCCAACGCATATCAAAAAGGTCCTCCTTTCAGACCTTGAGCTAGGGCAGCATGGGCGACCACGGGTTTGAGATCTCACACTTCCAACATCTGATTCTAAAAGGGTGTGATGAATGAGAAAAGGTTATCGCTTTGTCCCTAGCAGATTTGTAAGAGAGTTTGCGAGTTTTTTTTAGGCTTCTGGGCACTGGCAAACTATGCCACAAACATCGGCTTAAAATCAAAGAACGATGTGGTTACTCCTGACGGTAATCATTGAATCACCCGAGGGTCGACTCCCTCAGCATGATAAAGAAGAGAAGAGATTTCAGCACATCGGTGATCCTCAGCAAGCACGGCTGACCCAAACAAAGTTATGTGGTCGATCAGATCTGTCGTCCCCTTGTAGGACTTTAGTGTCAGGATCTTGAATCTTTCTGGGGGCTCAGCATCAGAGATTTACTGAGAGAACGCATTTTCAAATTCTTGAGGTACCTCAGTACGCCCGAAATGATGTCGATCAATCAGTGCCAACCTAGCACGATAGAAGTACTGGGAGTCGCCTTCTATTTTCAAAGTGGGGGAGACTTCTGTTGTTGCGTATCGGCCCTTTCTCTCAGGAGTGTTGATCTCTTCCCTAGGCCCATGGGCCTTGAATGGTATCCAACATTTGATCATTTAACACTTGGATCTGCTTGGTTGCAAACTCTCTGGTACATTCCAAGTTCTCGGTGTCTCTGTTATGAGTTTCTTATCCTTAAGCTAGTCCTATTCTTGTTTCTGGTATCATTCACGCTCAGCGCACTTTTTAGGATGTTAAATCTTGATTTGTCCATGAATCACACCAAAGGAACAAAGCGTAAATGAGAGAGAGAGATTAAGAGAGAGTGAACAATAATGAACAGTAATATGTCATGTCTTATTTATAAAATGATCACCTTATTTATAAGAAAGAATACAATATGTATAATTTATATTTCTCCCCTATTTTAAGGGGGGTATGTATTGGGTATTTCTGATATTTTATATATATGAGCTTATCGCCTGACTGCTCTTTGGCTCAGCTGGTTAAACTTAATTGGCTTTGAGTCTATAGGATGAGCTTAGTCGATTAAGCCTAATCAGCGTGAGTTGATTGTCTGATCTAGTCTGATTGTCGATCATTGATCCCTAATAAGAAAATCTTAGATATCCCTGGGATGGTTGGAGATGTTAGAGAACCACATCATCCTTGGATCAACTCTCCTGTGATAGTTGGCACTAACAACCTTTTATGTCGTTTCTGGCTGAGTGGCTTGCTCTTGTATCTTTCGATCATCTTTTTTTTTTGTCCATGATTTGGTTGGTTAGCTTTGGCCTTGCTGGCTTGGCTCGGATAACTTAACTGAGTCAGACAAGTGTATCTCATGCTCTCCTCATGACTAGTGTTGGCACATTTTTTATGTACGACATATATATATATATATATTGTGGATCATGTATCAACTATAAAAGTAGTACCTCTGGTGTATTTTTTAGATGAGACCATCTCATAGAAGATTACCTTCCAGCAATACAAACATATTTCAGTTCTGATGTATAAACTGCTGGTGCACAATGCTTTTCAACATAGTCCAAGAGTCCCCTGGTTTGATCAATCACTCCTGCTAAACCTTTTGGAGGGGGCCTGAAATATACCACAACGTACTTATTTAGAAAAATAATATATGGAATAGTTTCTATACTGCCATAATGTTTTTGACTGAATTCATCTACCTATGTTTGAGAAATTGATGTTTAGGGGCTCTTCGGGATCATTTATAATTTTTTGTTTCTTATACTTTCTTTTTATTTTATATTTTTTTCTGTTTTTAATAAAATATATCTAAATTACTTTCTTTATCTAAAAATAAATAACAATTTTTTTATTAACTAAATAAGTTCATCCTTATACTTAAATGAAAAAAAAATTTAAATTAGAAAAAAACAATTAAGAAATCAGATGTTTCAAGTTCACATAAAAAATTAATAGAAAAAAGAACACTGCTTTCATGTGAACAATATCCCATATGCATGTAGTCTCAAATTATAAGCAAATTTAACATGGAATTGTGTAAATAAAAAGAAGAAACACAATTGCTCGACCTCTTAATTCGCATGGGTGGTAGGAGCATGAAATTGGTTCAGCTCATGTGGGCAGAATATTTAAATTTTATTTAAAATTTGTTGAGCAAAATATTATTTTGTAAGCTCAAAAATACATTTATCAAGATTTGGGCAAATGGCAATCCCAGCCATGAGATTGGATTGGCACATTTTAATAAAAATAGCTATACTGATAAAAATAAAAAAGTTACGGTGGCCAAATGCCCACATTACAGTCTTCCTCCAATCAGCTCCAAACATACCCTAACCCAAGGTAGACTGAGTTAGCCCAAGTTTCATTTAAGTTTTTCTAATGGTATTTAAAAGTTGAAATAGTTTGCTGCTGAGGACCACTCGCTTCGCACCAAAGCTTTGCTCTACAAAACAAACTCCCTAAAAAGAAAAAAATATTTAAATACATACCACTCAGTTCTTATGTATTTACATGTCTAATAATCTGACACCTAGAATTCTATTATTGTGGTATTTCTTATGTGATATGAAAGATTTAAGTGAAAAAAATGTAGAAACTAAAGTTAAGGTGTTAGTTATGTAAATACATAGGAATTGGGTGGTATGTATGAAAATCTTCATAAGAGAAAATGCAGCTTATTTAACTTTATAGTGAATTTGTGAAGAGAGTAAACTATTTGACAAACAAGATGGATTAACTTTATTTCAACCAAATACAAGAATGAGATTTAGCATGCACTCCATTTACTTTGCATCAGCAACAACAAAAAACAACAAACCTTCATTCCACTAAGTGGGGTCAGCTACATGAATCCTTTTTCTCCATTGCGTCCATTGAGTGTCATATTTTCATTTTCATATTTTCATTTTATTCTAATAAATCAAGATCATTTTTTATACAATATGCCCATTCTAGTCTAGATCTACCTCTACCTTTCTTAACATAAGTCGAATCTAAAACTACTACTCTCCTAATCGGATCATCAAATGGTCGACGTTTAATATGACCAAACCACTGAGACGACTCTCTCTAATTTTGTCCGTCACTGGAGCTAACACCAACCTATCACGGATATATTCATTTCGCATGTTGTCTCTACGTGTAAAGCCACTCATCCACCTAATCATTCTCATCTTAGCAAAACTTAACTTAGTTTTATGCTTCTCTTTTAAAAGCCAACATTTAGTGCTATAGAGCATTACTGGTCTCACCACCATCTTATAAAATTTCTCTTTCAATCTAAGTGGTGTTTTTCTATCACACAATAGGCCCGAAGCATTCCTCCACTTCAACCAACCAACTTGAATTCTACTAATAACATCCACATCTATATCACCATCACTTTGAACAATAGCCCCGAGATATCTAAAGCATTCACACCTTTTAATAATTTGATCACCCATAGTTATAATTATGGCATTACTCCTACTACTAAAATTATATTCCATGTATTCTATTTTAGTTCTACTCAAATAAAGGCCTTTAGACTCCAACGTAGTCCCCATAATTCAAGTTTTTCCTAGGCTTTCTCCCCATTTTATCTGCCAGAAGGGTATCATCAGAAAAAAAAAAACATACACCAAGGTACATCCTCCTATAAATGTCCAGTAAGAGCATCCATAAAAAAATGCAAAAAGATATGGGCTTAAATTTGATCCCTAATGTAATCCAACAGAAATAGGAAAATATTTGGTAAATCATCCTTCTCTTCAAACACGAGTAACAGCTCTAGTATAAATATCTTTAATGACTTTAATATAAATCATAATAACGCCTTTCTTCTCAAAAACTCTCCAAAGGATATCTCTTAGAACCTTATTGTAAGCTTTTTATAAATCAATAAAAATCATATGTAGATCCTTTTTATTATCTCTGAACTTCTCTATCAAACATTTCAATAAATGTATAGCTTCCATAGTAGACCTACCCGGCATAAATCCAAATTGATTATGAAAAATCATTGTAATACGTCTTAACCTATGTTCAATTACCCTCTCCCATAATTTTAAAGTATGACACATCAACTTAATTCCTCTATAATTTGCAAACTCTTGTGCATCTCCTCTATCCTAAAAATAGGGACCAAAATACTCTTCCTCCACACCTCAAACATCTTTTTAGTTTTTAAAATAATATTAAAAAGGTTAGTGAGCCAAGAAACTCCCAAATCTCCTATATATTTCCAAACTTCAATTGGGATATCATCAGGTCCAAAAGAATTTCCACCCTTGGTTTTCTTTAAAGTCTCCCCAACTTCTTTTTATTAATACTACGGTAAAAATGAAATATTTTATTATTATTAACAATATTAAGAATACTAAGATCAATCGTATTTTCGGACACTTCATTAAAAAGTTTATCAAAATAACTAACCCACCTATATTGAATATTTTTTCTAAGAAAAGAACTTTTTGATTTTCATATTTAATACACTTTAGTTAATTTTTTACTTTTCTTTTCTCCTTGTTTGACTAGTTTATACATATGTTTTTCATCCTCCTTAGCATCTAATATATTATAAAGATTACTTAAAGCATAAATTTTAGCGTTACAGAACCCTACGGGTCATTTGATATTTTTCCCAATTGTCTATGCTTTTACATTTAAATCAATTTGTATAACATAACTTCTTATATTTTATGTTTCCTTGCATAAGTTAATTCTACTACCAACAATTTTTATTTATAATTTTTTTTTTCTTTTGATTCTGCAAGTACATCTTTTGTCACTAGTTTAATAGTGTTTGTTACTGTATCCCAAGTAAAATTTGTTTCTTCATAAACATCCCAAATCTTGATATCTTGAATTTTATTTATAAAAATAATTTTATTTTTATCTTTTAGGTACCGTCATCTAATTCTATGACGATGATTCTAAGTATTTTCTATTTTACAAATCTTCATCTTAAAAGCTAGAACAAATAATCGATATTGAGTAACTAAATCCTCACTTGGAATGACCTTACAAAATCTTCAATCTTTACATTTTCGATGATCTCTTCTTCTCATAAGAAAATAATCAATTTGTTTTTTATTAGGTTCATTATTATAAGTAATTATATGTTCATCTCTTTTCTTGAATAAATTATTAACAATAACAAAATCATATGTTAAAGTAAAATATAATATGGCTCTACCTTCTTCATTAATCACTCTAAAACCATAGCCACCCTACTACTCTACCGTATTTAAATCTCCTCCAATAAAAATTCTTTATTCAAGAGATATTATTTATATTAAGTCTTCTAAGTCATTCTAGAATTTATCTTTAGAACTTATAGTTAAACCTACTTGAGAAGCATAAGCACTCATAATATTAAAAAACTTAGTATCAACAATAATCTTAAGCGCTATAATTCTATCTATAATTCTATTAATTTACAACATTATCTTTCAAACTCTTATCTATAGTTATATCTACATCATTTCTAGCGTGAATCTTACATGAATACTAAAGTTTAAAGCCTAAGTTATCAATCTCCTTAGTCTTTTCTCCAACCCATTTAGTTTCTTAGTTTCTTGAATACATAAGATTCTTGAATACATAAGATATTTATCTTTCTCTGAATCATAATATCAACTAATTTCATTAATTTATCAGTGAGAGTATCTATATTCCAAGATCATATTCTAATATTAGTTTCATTGACTAACTTCTTTACCCGCATCCGTCCGTAATGTTGAAACCCTTGCTTATTTGACAATACACCCGGGCGTCTACACTTTTTACTGTATTCAGGTCATACAGCGTGTCGCTTTCAGGGGGAACCCAAGCATTTACACTATGATCCAAAGGATTTATGTCATGATTTTTGGATAAATTTTATGTTGGTTATCGACTACCTAACACAACCCTACACTTTTCACATCCAGGGCTTGGGACCCAGCAATGGCAGTGTTATTTACTTTGCATCAGCATATAGCAAAAAATAGTTCCTAATTGTTTTGAAATAAAGCAATTGACCCATGAGATAATCACAAATAAATCATCCCTAATTGTTCTCTAAGCCATACATGTGTTAATTAATCTAATACCGAGATAAAAGGATCTTTGAAGCAGTATACGCATAGCATGTTAACGGCAAAAGCAAACGTTTTATGGAAGATATATATGCATACCACTCAATTCTTATGTGTTTACATATCTAACATGCGAACCTTAACATTTACATACATGTCACCTTACCTGCACAAGGAAAGGTATATTTCACTTTTTAGAAGTTAAAAAGATGACATTTTTGATGTGATATAAAAGATTTGGGTGGTGTAGCTGTAAAAGGTGAAGAATAGGTGTTGGATATGTAAATACATAAGAATTGGGTGGTATGTATGCAAATGTCCCAAGTTTTATTTGCTACTCTATTTTTGTTTGCAGGCATGCATATGAATTAGAAAAAAATAGGCCAAAACGGAATTCAACTCCTCTCGAATTTTATAAAAAGAAAGTGATTTTTTTTTAATTGTTATTCATATATTGCACATATCTTAAAACAAATTTAACAACTCAGAGACCATGTTGACAAAATTTTGGTCAAGGCATTTTTTTTCTTTCTTTAGTAAAGAAAGATTTACATACATACCACTAGGACTATCAAAAAAGCACGTTGTTCGCGAACAACTCGTGTTCGGCTCGTTAAGTAATCCGTGTTCGAAACGTTCGTTGAGTAAGCAATTCAAATACAAAAAAAAATTAAGCTTAAACGAACCAGACAAAAACAACTCTTTATTTGATTGTGTTCGGCTCGTTTTAGCTCGAAATAAAGAAATTACATCCATTATTTATAATATATATATAAAGTAAAAAATTACTACAGCTCATGTAGTCATATGGTTATGTGTTTTTTATTACAAAAGAATGGTGCAGGATCGAATCCAATATCATACATCTATTTTTCTAATTAATTTATATGAGTCAATTTCAAGTCGAACACAAACAAGAACAAGTAAATCAATTCAAACATGAACACATTGTTCACAAGCAATTTCGAACACTAGTTAATTTCAAACAGAATTAATTTCATACGAGTCAAACATGAGCCAAGCCTAGGCTCGCTCAAGCTTGGCTCTTTTACAGCCCTGCATACCACTCAATTCTTATGTACTATCATATCTAACACCTAAAACTCAAACCTTCCTATGCATAAAAGCGTGTATTTCACATTTAAAAGTGAAAATAATGATATTTTTTATGTGCTATAAAAGATATGGGTGAAATAAATGTAAAAAGTAAACTTTCGTTGTGAGATATGTAAATACATAGGAATTGGGTGACATGTATATAGATGCCCCTTTAGTAAATTAGTTATTGCAGTGTCAAAAAGGCATGCAACTAAAGAGAGGAGTAAATGATACAGTAATGGAATCATACAGGTGAGGGGTCCCTAGAGTTAGCAGTAAAGAGATATCCGACCATCCAAATTCTTTCATGTAGACTCGCGCCAACCATCCACCAGCTGAGTGTCCTATCAATGCTATGCGCCCTCCTACACATTATGCCAAGAACCAATCTATCCAATTCATTAAAGCATCTTAATCAAAAGTATAAAGAAAGGTTTACAAGCATATCACTCAATTCCTATGTATTTAAATTACATATCTAACACCTAAACTTTAATACTTTAAACTTTAATTTTTACATATATGCCACCTTACCTATACATGAAAATGTGTATTTCACTTTTTAAAAGTTATAATAGTGATATTTTTATGAGTTATAAAAGATTTGGGTGGCAGAAATGTTAAAAACAAAGTTTAGATGTTAGGTATGTAAGCACATAGGAATTGGGTTGTATGTATGTAAATGCTTAAAGGGTTGCTTGGAAACCTATTTTAGGCATTAATTAAGCACATTTTAGGTTAAATCCTACCAAAAAAAAATCTTGACGATTCTAAATCCTATTATTTTGATTAATATTGTTATTGATTAAATTCAGAATTTATTAAATCCCAAAGTTTGTAGGTTTTAATGGATCTAAAGACTTCTCCCCCATATAAATCTTAAATCTTAAAATAAATATCAAAATAGTTAATCATAATTTAGCAAGATTAAGCAATTGGAATAATAATAAAAATTGTGCAATTGGGTATTGAAGCATTTTCTTTTGATAGGAGAGAAGTAAGCCTCAAGGCGTTTTGAGGCATAAGGCTCAAAGTTAAAAAATTAAGTAAATTAATAAATATTGTATAAACGATAAAGTGTGAAGTAAGAAATAATAAATTAATATTCTAATTTATTAGCACATTAAAAAGTAATATAGCAATATTCTAAGTAAAAAACAATAAATTACGTAAAATTAGAAATAACACACAAATATACTTACATCAAATTATGAAATAAGATGGATTATACAAATATTAAATTATCAAAGTAAGATAAGATATCCGAATAAAAACTAAAATATAGCAAAAAATAAGATCAAAATTAATATTTCTCTCACTCATGATACCCCAACTTAAACAAGAATATAATATGTCATCAATATTTGAATTTTTGAATTAAAAGTCCTTATTTCTCTTATCACCCAATGGGTTTTCACTTGAATCATCGGCATAATGAATTATTTATCTCATGTGTTATCCTTGTCATATATATATATATATATATTCTCTTATTCTTCATTATCCTCAATCCCATATATATATATATATATATTCTCTTATTCTTCATTATCTTCAATCCCATATATTTTTTTTTATTTTTCAATAAAAAATCATCAATAAAAATATTAAAAAATAATAATTATGTTGAAAATTAGAATTTCAAATACATAAACTTTTATGGATAAATTTTCATTTTATTTCTTGTCATTTAGTGTGTGAAGTGTGAAGATTAATAGAAGAGGTATATTGATATTACTATTAGTTTTGTTTCAAATAATTACGGATATCGAAAAAGTTTGAAGCGTCCTTTGAGGCGAGGTGCGCCTCAACCTAGGAGAGGCATGGGGACAATTAGGCATAAGCTTTATTGTGATTATTTTGAAAAAAAAGCATTCATATTGCTCAATTTTAAATAATGATTGGAATGTCAAATAATTTTTTAGTTTTAATCATCTCACAAGACTAATTAAAACTTTGGATTTATAATATTTTTACTAAATCCTACTTAGTTGAATCCTATTAGATACATGTTTAAAAGCATGATAAGGTAGTCTCAATGCAACAGGGCGAACCAAGATCAAATCAAGCAGATCAATCCGAATCACAACCCTCACAAATAAAATAAGAACAAGATTTGCCTTCTGAACAGAGCTTTTTAGCTTCGGCGACGGCTGCCACAACTCTTTCCAGATACCTAGATAACAAATTGAAATGAAGATTGGCATTTGGAGTCGAGAAAATGCTCTAATGGACTCAATGGAGAGTATAAGTGGGGACAAGAAGATACCAATTGAGGACGGGTCTTGGGCTGAGAGTGCCTCTCCAGTAGTTAGAGTCGACGAGGCCGGCGGCATTTCGAAGCCAGTCAAATCGGGAGACCTTGGCCACCGCGGTGGGGATTCCGTAGCCATCCGTAAGCGTCCTGCAGAGGCTTCGGTAATCTCCGCTGTTGTTCCCCAAACCCTGTAAATCCATGAGCCATCTCATTTGAGAGAGAACAACATAGATAGATGGACTGAGAGAGCGAAGGAGAGAGAGAGTGAGAACCACCGGGAGAATGACGGCGGCACGAGTGGAGGTTGGTGAAGAGGACTGTGGGCTGAGGATGTTGAGAGTGGAGGCTGGAGTCGGGAGAGCCATATCGTAGTCTTTAGAGGGAACTAGCTGCAAGCATGGCAGGTAAGGGAGAGTATTTGGGGTACCTTCTCATAATTGTGGCCTCTTATTTTGGTTTGATGATATATTGATTGATTTATGAGAAATTTTAAAAATAATTACGTACATATCTCATAAATTTAATATATTATACATATTTAAAATTTATATTTTAATATTTATATTTATTGAATTTAAAATTGTCCTGCAATCACACTCAAAGAATAGAATGTAAATGAGAAGAGAAATGATAAGTACAAAGAGTTGTCCATTCATTATATACTTCCATTATTTATAGAGAGTGTAACACAATATTAATTTTATATTTTACCATATTATGAGAGGGTCTGTATTAGCGTATTTTTGGTATTTTGCAACGACTTATCGTCTAGTTGCCTTTTGGTTCGATCGCCTAAGCATAACTAACTTTGTTTGGCAAAGTCAACTTAATTGGCTGAGTTTTATCGGTTGGGTTCGGTCAGCGGATCCAACCTGGTTCACTATCTTCAATCTCTAGTATAGAGCTTTTGGGTTTCCATTGAATGGTCGAAGATACGTTGTGGAACTGGCTCTTCCATTTGATCGGCTTCACTACGTGATAAGCCACTAAATCAAGTTGGCTTTGCTTCATTTGACGGTCTAGAGGCTCTACCGTCTCATTTCTGGTTGAATGGCTTATACCTTAATTGCTTAGTCTCTTTCTTATTTTCATTTTGACTCGAACAGCTTTGACCTAGTCGGCTCGGTTCGTCCTGCTTAGTAAGCCTTATGATCTCTTTGTGGTGGATCTGCCTCTGTTGTATTTTTCTCTTATGGATCATTAGATCTCTATAAGATTAGTGTTGACTCTGTTTTAATGTACATATTTTAGCTCTCTGGTTCTCTTACTTCGTCAAGGTGACGTTATGATAAGAATAAGAGAATTAAAAATAAATGTATATCTCATTCAATTTTAATTAACAACTCAATAATTGAAATCCCTTGATTTTGGAGCCTTTGATTCTTATAAATTAGGTGATATGACTCCTTCCCAAGCCTACTTTGCTTTGCATTTTCTTTGTTAGAGCCGATAAACTCTTGTATCTTAGGCGTTGTGATGAACAAACTAATGAAATATCAGGATGACATCCCCACCAAAAGCTTGATCCACTCTATTTTGGAAATTTGAAAGGATGAGACCACCAAGTGGATGAGAAAGAAAATTTTCATGAAGAGGAAGAGGATTGTGCTTCCACTGTCGAATTAGGTGGGGTCGTCAGATTCAATCCTCAGCACAGTGCAAAGGAATGTTCAACCAATCAGTTGGACCCTTGATCCAACCACACGAGCTCTTAATGCAGTTCAAGGCTCTTTGATCGATTAGGCTACTCAAGTGGCTTGTAGTGCACTTTGCTTTCGTTGGAACTCTTTGATGAGCTTATTGCGTCATTTATAATGTCATGATGCCTAAAATTGATGGGAGGCAAGTTATTCAATCAATTAAATAAACATATTGATCATGTATATAACGAAATGAATTTGTGTATTGGTCCCTCCAGGATAGCGTCGAAATATTTCTAACAGACAAAGTTCTATTTTACTGAATTGCTAAGTTTTAGTTTGAAGTGATCGAAAAGCTTGCTTCGCACAATGTTTCATAATGAGAAGGAAACCTATGAACATTATTGTGCATATGCACACCAAATTGGATTTACTGTACGAAATGACCATGTTGGTTTTTGGCCAATTTCAAAAATGATTAAGATAAAGGATTTCATTTGTGGTAATACTTGTTTCAAGAAAGAATTGAATAGCAATGTGACGGTGAAGTACAGAAGAGGGGACACAAGGACTTGTTGTCTAGCCATGATCCGATATGTCGTCAATGTTGAAGGTAACTGGCTGATTAAGAAATTTATAGAAAGTCATAACCATCCTTTTGGCGACGGACGGTGCTAAGAAATTTATAGAAAGTCATAACCATCCTTTGGGCGACGGACGGTGACAAACATCTATTGTGTTCCAGCAGAAAGATGAGTGATATCAATGCAGAAGTGCTTAGATCGATGACACAATCAGGGATTTGAACAAGCCATGCATTTAGTTTTCTAGCTATAGAATTCGGGAGTGTGGAAAATCGTGATTGCACGAAGAGGGATGCTTATAATTTCATATAAAGAGAGAGAAGAGTTAAAATTGAACATGAGGATACTAATTCTCTTCTACGATTGTTCACTGAGAGGCAATCTGAGGATACGATGTTTGCATGGGACGTCCAGATTGATGAGTCTGGTAGTTTGTTGAATTTCTTTTGGAGTGATGGGATATTCGGGCTCGATTATGATTGCTATGGGGATGTCATAATATTTGATGCAAGTTATAGACTAAATAAATACAATTTATGTTGTGCTCCTATTATCGGTGTGAACCACCACTAGCTGAATGTTCTATTTAGAGTTGGCTTTTTGTCTGATGAAACAGTTGACTCATTCAAGTGGTTATTCAAATCATTTATTTGGATAATGGATAACAAGCATCCAATATCAACATTCACTGACAAGGATCAAGTAATGGTCAGAGCCATTGAAGAGTGCCTTCCGCACACCAGACATAGATTGGCCAATGACATATTTACAAGAAATTGTCTTCAAAAGTTCATTGCGGTGTGAGCACCAAGAAAGCCAAAGAGATTTTTTATAAATGCATGGGTAGATGCAACTCTGAGGAGGAGTTTGAAGAAAGCTTACGTACAATGATTGAGCTAAGATATCTACATGATAATGCTTGGTTGAATAGTTTGTTCAATATCAAGCATAAGTGGTCAATGACCTTTAATAAGGAAATATCTGAGATGAGAATCCTTTCAACGCAAAGAAGTGAGTCCACGAATAACATCTGTCATGGTATCTTTAAGCCAACAAGCACGCCCACTGAAAGTTTCTTGGGTCATAAAAATGTCATGAAATTTTGGCGAAGGAATGAGAAGGATGAAGATTTTAAATGTAAACAGTCTGCAATTATTCCTGCTGTAAAAAGTAGTCCTGTGTTGAGGCAAGGTGCTTTAGTTTATACAAGCAAGTTATATTCTATATTTGAAGCAGAGTTACATGGTTTGTGTAGACTTGTTGTGGAGTGCTCAGCCACCAAAGATTCTGAATTTTACATTATAAACTTAGATAATGAACACACAGACAGACCCTGGATTGTTAAAGTTGAAAAAAGTAACTCTGAAATTTCATGTAGTTCCAAAAAAAATGAATGATGGGTTTATTATATGCTCACACTCTAAGGGTACTTAGTCATGAGAATATAACAAAGATCCCTAATAAATATATTATTATGGTGGTCTGTTCATGCAAAAAGGAATATATAACAGTTATGGGTATGAACATCTGAAGGATTCGCAAATGTCACCAAATTGTTCAAGTGGACTCATATATCAAACACATGTTTATAAATTTGCATATTGGATCAGTATATTAATGCAAGGTAATGGACTTGATGAGAAAAATGTCCTGGAGACATTAAAGAAACTAACAATCGAATCAGAGGCCATATTGAATGGGAGAGACCACCAAGAAATGTCAAGGTCAAAGAAGAAAAAAAGACACTGAATATACAACACAATTTGAAAGACTCAACAAAGATGCGGCCAAAATAAATATCTAATGCAAGGTTAAAAAGCTATTAGGAGAAGAACATAAGAGTAAAAAAAGTAAGCTTTACCAATAGTACTAATTAACCTGTCTTCATGCATGTTGCGTTACAGCTCCCTAACATGAAGCATTGTATTACAGGAAAGGACAAAGATGTTAGTTCAAGTCAAGATACTTTTCATCCATCTGACCCAAACCTATTTGTAATGTCGGATCGATATAGTCATGTACATAACTTAAAATTTGTAACACTTTGTAATTTGTGAACTAATTTTGATTATACTTATTTACTTACATTCATTTTTTATTACCCAAAATCAATAGAAATTGACTGCATCACTGTCCACACACACACATATATGAGCTTATTGATGGACCTAAATGATATGTGAAATACCAAGAAACTACAATGAATTAATGTAATGTGGTATTAATGTAGTTTCTGTAGTGTTAAATCAATCTATTATTTGTTATTGTGGAATTAATGTAGTTTCTGCAGTATTAATATTGTTTGATATTTGCCAATTTATTATAGTTTGTGATTAATTTTACCAACATCTTTAAGCTGCTTTTATACATTTCATTACAAAAATATGTCAAATAAATACATTTCATTACAAAAATATGTCAAATAAATAGAAATAAAACTTTAATATTACGATAATATTCATGCAAATACAAGTGGTATAAGCTAGTTGTGATTATATATTTTACGAGTTTTTTTAGACTACGTTGAATAGCATGCGTTAAATATTACCATAATACAACCAGGGTATAACATCGCTCGCTAAGGAGTATATCCTGGTTTGATTGGAATATTCATTTGCTGTATTCTCGGTCGTATCTTGGTTGTTCCAAGGATATATTTATAATATTAAGCTATTTTTATATATTTCATCATAAAATGTGTGAAATAAAAAGCAATAAAACCTTATAATTACCATAATATTGACTAAATACGCTTGGAATAAGCTAGGATTGATTAAAATATTTTACAGGTTTTTTTATAGCCAGCATTATATATTACCAAAATATTACCATAATGCAACCATGATATAGCAGTGCTCGCTAAGAAATATAACCTAGTTTGATTGGAATATTCCTTTACTGCATTCTCCACTCTGTGGTCGTATCTTTTTTTTCCTAGGATATATTTATAACATTAAGTTGTTTTTGTATATTTCATCATAAAATGTGTGAAATAAAAAGCAATAAAACCTTATAATTACCATAATATTGAATAAATACGCCTGGAATAAGCTAGGATTGATTAAAAATTCTTATAAGAGTTTTATAGCCAGCGTTGAATAGCCTGCGTTAAATATTACCAAAATTTTACCCTAATACAACCACGATATAGCAGCGCTCGCTAAGGAATATATCCTGGTTTGATTGGAATAATTCTTTATTGTATTCT